AGAGACTTTTTAATTCTTGTTCATTCTCACTGGCTTGTCCGTGAGCTAGATGGACATACGTACATACAAAACGATCTCCTAAAGCTAAGTTACATAATAGAAATAGATAACAGTATGTATGGATAACCTTTACAGTTAAGTTGTTTCTTAATTTATCTTACAGTCTTATACCTATACCTTATGCTAAAAGAACAGTTGTACAGTGTGCCTTACTACTACTTGCTCTGCCACAATAATAACTTTATATTTTTAAATTGATTATTTTTATTCTCGAGTAATTAAAGTTTTTTAAATAATAGCATTTCCCTTTCCCTTAAAAATTGCATATAAAACCTATTTTAAAAACAAAACAAGAGGAAACGCTATAGTCGAGTGCCGCGACTATAGAATAAGCGTTACTGTTTTACACAATTTTAAAATATTAATTTTTTGTGGAAATTCCCAAAGCGCCACCTATTGTCGGAGAAAGCATGTTGAGTAACTAATAGTGACGTCACTGCCCATGTGAGACCATGTGAGAAAAAACAATTCGTATTTGGGGCATCATGAAAACAAACATGCTTAATCCGAACTTTCTATCACTTATAGTTACCGAGATATCAGGTTTCCTTAAAAATGCGAAAACCGTCTTTTGAGCTTGGTGGGCGTATGGGTGGGTGTGGCCGGACAATAGTACCACCAAAAGATGCGGTGGCATCCAAAGTGTATACTTACTGAATTTCAACTTTCCAGCTCTAACAGTTTCCGAGATTTCAGCGATTTTAGTTTTTCGTGATTTGTGGGCGTTAAGTGGGCGTGGCAGGATGCTGAAATAAACTTGCGCTGACCCGGGACCTCAAGAATCCTCATGCTTAATCTCAATTTTGTATCTGCTATAGTTCCTGAGATCCCAGCGTTCATTCGGACGGACGGACAGACGGACATGGCTCAATCGACTTCGGTATTGATCCTGATCAAGAATATATATACCTTATAGGGTCGGAAACGCATCCTTCTATCTGTTCCATACTTTTCAACGAATCTAGTATACCCTTTTACTCTACGAGTAACGGGTATAAAAACTTTATTTGGTTATTAGGTTTAAAATTAAGTTTATATTTTAGAATGGAGTACCCAACTGTAAACAGGAATTTTACTAGTAATGCCATTTGATACAATAAATAACACTTTTCAAGGTACCTCGCCCACGAGATACCTGTTATGCCTGGAAATTGCGTTTATGGGCGTTACAGGTTTTTGCGTTTGATGGGCGTGACCTCTTTTCGAATTACAGTCATTCCTAGGAGTCAGCAAGGTTAATCTTAACTTTCGTTCGGACGAACGAACAGACTAGTGATCAAAAATTTATATACCACATTAGGGTATTAACGCATATTTATTATTATTAGGTTATTAACGCATTATTCTACCTATTATATTCTTTTCAGTAAATAAAATAAACAGTTTAATTCTAAAGCCTTTGTAAAGCCTTCATATTTCTTTGGACTTAACTGTCCCATAATATATTTATCATTTCTACAGTCAATATCTGCAAAAAATTTAGTTAAATAAGAAAATACTTGTACAAATATAAGCAGTGGATATATCAGAATAACGTCATAAAGCTTCAAATATTTGTACATCTGATCTGTGCAAAAATTTGTTGGCTTGGCCTGGTTTTTCGGATAAGCATAAAGAATTGGATCAAATGCCACAATCCGTGGCATTGTCTTTGAGGTATAAATAGTGTGGAGTTCGGATTAGAACAGTATCAGTTGATCACATTCAATCACCAAACCTCAACATGAAGTTCGCTTGCGTCCTGCTCCTGTTGGCCACCGTGGCATGCTTCCTGGTGAGCCAGTCGAGTGCCAGTACCACAACGACGACAACGACAGATGCCACCACCACCACAACCACGGCATCGTCCTCGGACACCACCACCACCACTGAATCCTCCTCGGACACAACCACGACCACATCTTCTAGTTCCTCCAAGAAGAAGAAGCACGTGACCCACTACAAGCGCAAAATCCACCGCCCCAAGAAGATCGTCAAGAGACATCGCAAGAAGAACCGCAGTGGTTAAAAGCCAGAAAATCTACATCGACCAAATCCAAGCTGTCTTGAACTTTGATTCCCGCACTCCTTTTCCTGATATAGTAATTTAAGTATAGTTAAGAATTATTTCTATGAAAATAAAAGCACTACTTTGTTAAAAACAAATACTAAAAAAAACTTAATGGGAATGGTTTAAATAAACCATGTTTAAATGAGCTAGAAAATTGGCATAAGAAATTTACTTTTTCGTCGCCAAAATACAATTCCATAATAGAAAAAAATATTCAGCTTTTTAAGGTGATGTCATGCAAATAGAACAGGATTTCTTATAGATATCATTCTTTGAGACATCAATTACTTAGTCGCAATAAGACTTTAAATCGTAATTAAAATGGTAAATTTTATATTCAATAAAACTACCTTAAATTTAACATTAATTTTGTAAGGCAAGAGTGTGTCATGTAATATTCCTTTTAAGTTCACAATTTAAAAAACTTTCTTATTTTGTTTTTTATACTTTTGTTCTATTTAGTTTAAAGTTAAAAACTTTATCTTTACTACTAAAACTGATTAAATAAACGTTTTAATTTTCACTAATAATTATAAAAGTTTTTATTTTTATTTTTGGTACTTAAAGAAGTGGCTTAAATAAATATTTTATACAAAAGATAATAATGATCTCGGTTGTTTAAAAAAAGATGAAGATATATGTTGCAAAATTTTTTTTAATAATATAAATAAATACAATTTTTCAATAACAATTATAAGTATAACTAAACAGCCATAATTCGGGAGGAGTGCAAAGTGTCGGAGTTCAAAACAGCTGGAAATGGAGTTTAAAGGAGTTTAGCCACTGCGGTTCTTCTTGTGATGCCTCTTGACGATCTTCTTGGGGCGGTGGGTCTTGCGCTTGTAGTGGGTCACGTGCTTCTTCTTCTTGGAGGAACTAGAAGATGTGGTCGTGGTTGTGTCCGAGGAGGATTCAGTGGTGGTCGTGGTGTCCGAGGACGATGCCGTGGTTGTGGTGGTGGTGGCATCTGTCGTTGTCGTCGTTGTGGTACTGGCACTCGACTGGCTCACCAGGAAGCATGCCACGGTGGCCAAAAGGAGCAGGACGCAAGTGAACTTCATGTTGAGGTTTGGTAATTGAATGTTATCAACTGATACTGTTCTGATCCAAACTCCTCACTATTTATACCCTTTGGGGGAGCTAAGAAGGCAAACATTTTACCGATCTGGGTTTATCCGCATTAGCGTGAGAACTTTACGCATAATAGCACCTGATCCAGATCTTCGAGCCTATCTTAAAATCCAGGCTAATCAAATACTAATTTGCAAAATTCTAGGCCTACCACAAAACACTTGTGCAAAGAGAAGAAATATTTTGAGAACTTGAATTTGGCTGGAAACATATTGACGTTGCTCTAGAGTTGCAGCTGTTTATATTTAAACACGCACTTTCTAATTATATTAATACATCGCTGGGAACAAAACTCGACAAATATAGCAAACAGCGAAAATAAATACAATGAACTATTATATAAACACAAGGAGAGATGTGAGTTTTATAGCCAGTACTAAAGTTGTGTTTGCCTTATATTTTTGTTAATTTTTGTATATCATTATATTTGTTTTTTAATCATGGCCAAAGGAATGAGACAAGTTTGTATATGATTTTGCATCGTTTCAATATGTAGTTAAAAAATGTGGAGAAGAAAAACGCACTAACATTTGTATCTTATTCGGGTTATTAGGTAGAACCAGTTTAGAATCGTTTACCTAACGCCAAACATTTTAAACAACATTTCGGCCACTGATGTCATAAGTTCGGTGCAAGACAATAAAGTTCCATTCGGTTACTTCAAAATCCACGGAAATAATTTAAGAATAAGGCCAATAGGTCATGCGAGTACCCGCGTCTTTGGTCCAATCGTCTATAGAATGGGTCATAAAGCATGGGAACAGGTTCCCACATCTCCACCTGTGACGCGTGCTTCATACGGTTTCCCCACATTACCACATATATGTACATATGTACATATGTATGTACAAACTCACTTAGCTGCTAAATACTAAATCACCTCTCTTTACAGCGTCAATAAATGTTGTTTAATTGTATTGCTTTTGTTCTTTGTTTTTTGCAGACTCCGTTTGGCGACATTCACCTAAGGAAGCGAGAAAACTAAAGAGAGAGAAGAAGAGAACCGTAGAGATATTTCGTGCATGCATTTTCTGTGATGCAGGTTCAGGTTTAAATTCGCCGAAAATAGCTGCAGATAATGATTTAGAAAATGGTTACATGTTCAAATACTTTTATGGTAAGTATTTTTGTATTACGACTATGCCAAAGAAAGGGAACTTATTTAAAATTAATAAAAAATTAATTACAACTTTCAAAGGATTTTAAGTTTTCATTCCCGAGTTTCTAGCTAAGTCCCGCGACTTTGCCATTTCAATGAAGGCATCACTGAGCTTGACTGAGAAAACAAGAAATGGGTTAAGAATCAAGGCAGTCCAAGATGCAGACGAAGAAGAAAGAGGGACGGCCTCAGCAACCGAACCACATTCCATGCGCAGACAGCGCAGCCGCACAGTGGATTAATTTATAAAAACTTGTTTGAGACTCTAAAGTGGAACCTGATATATGTATGCATTAGGTTTGGAATGTTTCTTCAAAATATATTTTAACTTAAAATATATTTCATAAAATGTATCTAGTTTTTAAGAATACAAATTTTTATTGAAAATTAAAAAAATATATATATTTATGTTATAATTAAATTTGCATTAAAAATTAACATAATCATTTTTTTTATCCCTTACAGAGAATTGTTTCCAGTTTTAACTATAAATTTTGTAACCAGCTCTACCAATTTGATCCACTGTGCGCCGAGGGCAGCGGCTGCGACTGCGCAGAAGAAAGAGAGCCATCGCAGATCCGTTTCCATTCAGAGTCCATTCATTGCGTCGCGAGATCTTTGCCGTGAAGGTTGTGGGCCGTGATACGTGTTGCCGGGAAAGAATAGTTACATATTTTACTTCCGTGAGTTTGTGTTTGTGGGAACAATTCGGTAACGAAACTTTCTTCAACAGCTGGCCATCATTTGTATGCAAATGCAAATCGGCTAAGAAGGCAGCAAAAGGAAGAGGAAGAACCACCGAGACAAGTGGAGTGTAGAAAGTGCAAAACAGGTTTTTTTTTATATGTTAACGAAGGCAAACGTGGCAATATAAGAAATTAACACCACAAAAAGTGATCGCTGGATTATCTCATGTTCGACGACTGCTAATTGATCAGTGAAAGTGGGTAGAAATCACAAAATACAATGCGCGGAAGAAATGCCCGCTAAATATCGATGAGCAAGTCGCACGCTAAAGCAAAAATAAAAACAAAACGAGGAAACCGCTATGTCTGCCACCTACACTAATACAATTACACAGCGTCGCAAGGCGGCCAAAGTGAATAATAAACAACCACAACAACAATGGGCGGCCAGCGATTTCAGCGGCGAAGCAAACGAAAGACTTCACTTTCGCAGCCGTTCAACAAACTCAAAAGCAACAACAACACACCCATTTGCCAAAAACTCACCTTCACCACTGTGCTGTAACGGTGCTCTAACGCTGCTTAATTGCTGCGTCGACGTCAACTGCCATTTGAATGCGCCGCTCCGTGGTAGCGTTAGCCGGCATACGACACCAACTCCAACGCCGACTGCAACGCCAACGCCAACGCCAACAGCAACGCCAAAACAATCCTCCCCCTCGCCAAACTCCGATCGTTCGCGCTCCCTCTCACCAACGCCTTCTCGTTCTCGTTCGCTCTCCTGCCATAAACGCAAGCAAAAGAGCAGTATATCAGCAGGAGGTGTCGCTGTTGAAGAAGAGAGAGAAACCGCTAATACAAGTTCGCCGCCTTTTACCGTTAACCTGAAGATCGATCTCTTCAGTTGGGCTCTCTTTCTCTTGGCCTTCGGCACGCGTTTCTACAAGCTGGCAACGCCGCCGCATATTGTGTGAGTAGAAAAACAATAACAAACGTGGAAATGGTTAATGGGGTCACCGCTGAGATGAAACAAATATACAGAGAAAAATTATGGGGTTGGTTCAATATGTTAATTTACATAACATTTTTTTAAAAACTGCTCCCAATTATTACTACAACTTGTTTGTTACCATTTTGGTGCAGATATTTTTGTATATTATTATTATGAATTTGCCATATAAACAATTTTATTAAAAAAGTCTCAAAACTCGTTTCTGTGGAATTTTGCCATAAAAGTTTATTTCTTCGTTTTTGCGTATGTAGAGATTTAAACACGTTCAAATGATATAACGCTAAGACTGTCCTTCGATTAAGCTGTCTTTTTGCAACTTTACTTCCGTTATAGTCTTTATTTGGAGTTACTTTTACAATAACCAATTAAAAAAGAGAAAGGGAAGAAGAGGTTAAGGCTAGAATTAATGCTACTAAAACCCAAAATCATAACTACAATCATAATTAAAAATGTAATATCCCTGCAGGTTTGATGAACTGCATTATGGCAAGTACATCTCAATGTACCTGCACAACATCTTCTTCTTCGATCAACACCCACCGCTGGGCAAACAGCTGATCGCCGGACTGGTCAACCTGGCCGGCTATGGAGGCAACTACACATTCACCCAGATTGGGGAGCCCTATTCGGCGGATTTACCAATTTTCTGGTTCCGATTTGTGCCAGCCATGTGCGGAAGTCTTTTGGCTCCCTCTGTTTATAAGCTACTGCTGGAGGCAAAGCTGAGTCGTTGGTCATCCGCTTTGGGTGGACTGCTCGTTGTCCTGGACAACTCCTTGTTGACACAATCCCGTTTTGTTTTGATGGAATCAATGCTGCTGCTGGCCACCACATTGGGCATCACTTTCTTGCTACGCTTTCAACGGTGTCGCCTGGGCAGTCTTCAGTGGTTTGTCAGTGGAGCGGCAGCCGCAGTCTTCTTGGGAGCAGCTGGAACAATAAAGTACATCGGATACCTGGCGTTGGGTTTAGGCTTCTATCTGCTATGTCGACGCTTGTGGCAGCTTCTCTACGATGCAAGCTTGACCGGTAAGTTAACCATTTCCACGTCCATAACATACATATATGCCAAAAATTAAAATTAAACTAATAAGACATCCTTTTCAGATCGCCAGCTTTGGATGCACGCCATTAGTCGTCTGCTGATCTTCGTTGGTATTCCAATCGCTGTCTACATCGGAGTCTTCTATGTCCACTTTAAAACCCTCTATCGGGCTGGACCACATGACAGCATCATGACAAGTGCATTTCAAGCCTCACTGGAAGGTGGACTGGCTTCGATTACACAAGGACAACCAGTGGCAGTGGTTCATGGATCCCAAATTACTCTGCGCCACACCCATGGTCGCACCTGCTGGCTGCACTCGCATGCAGCCGTATACCCAGTGCGCTATCCAGACAAGAGAGGCTCCTCGCATCAGCAGCAGGTCACTTGTTATTCTTTCAAGGATGTGAACAACTGGTGGCTGGTCAAGCGCCCGAAAAAGGAAAACCTGGTGGTTGGAGACAAACCAGATGTTATTCGACATGGTGACATTATCCAATTGGTCCATGGAATAACCAGTCGAGCTTTGAATTCGCACGATGTGGCTGGTGCAATGACACCGCAATGCCAGGAGGTCAGCTGCTACATAGACTACGAGATCAAGATGGCAGGTGAACTGTTGTGGCGTGTGGAGATCCTAAATCGGCAATCCACGGGCAACAAATGGCACGCCATTAAGTCTGAAGTAAGACTCATTCACGTGACCACGGGTGCTGCTTTGAAATTCAGTGGTCGCCAACTTCCGGATTGGGGCTTTAATCAGCATGAGGTGGTGGCAGATCGTGAAAAGTCAGTTCAACCGGATACCATTTGGAATGTCGAAGAGCACCGCTATACACAGAGTAAGTCATCTAAATGATAACTCCTTTTGTTCAAAATCTAATATATAATCTTTATAGCTGAGGACCATCGGGAACGGGAGCGCCAGCTGCTGACTGCCGAGATGATACCCACCCACCGTACACGCATTTCTTTCTGGGCCAAGTTAATGGAGCTACAGTCTAAGATGCTCTTCCATACAAAATCTTTGTCAAGTCACATGTTCAGCTCGATGCCGCACGAGTGGCCGTTGATGGATAAGGGCATCGCCTACTGGTTGGACTCTGAGTCCAGTGCTCAGATTTATTTACTAGGAAACATTCTCATCTGGTACACGGCCACCACGGGAATAGTTGTTTACGCCGCATTACTTGCCTTCTACGCTGTACGACGACAACGTCTTTGTTTCGATATTTCGGAACAGGAGTGGCAGCGATTCCTTGTTGCCGGCGATACTTTCTTCGTGGGTTACCTGATACACTATTTGCCGTTCTTCTTTGTGGATCGTACACTCTTCCTTCATAATTACTTGCCAGCTTTTGTGTTTAAGTTACTGCTATTATGCTATGTCATTGAGCATTTGGATTATCTACTAAGGCGCTTCTGCACCGGACGTGGTGTCCACATAGTGCGTGTGTATCGCCTCATGTTAATCGTTTGGTTGGTCTGCGTTCTCAGCATTTTCTCAAAGTTTATACCATTAAGTTATGGAACGAGTAAAATGACTACAAAACAGGTTCGCAGCCTGCGTTGGAAGGACTCCTGGGACTTTATCCTGCACAAAAATCATAACCTGCACTGAAAAACCATATGCCATCTCCGCGGCCAGAGAGACGTGCAATGATGTACTTTTAACATGTACAATAGACTAGAAGACCTAGCTAAAGTTGAACTATTACTAAGCCATAAATTATTTGACATGTAAACATACTCATTTGCAAGACCAATTAAAACAATTATTTATTTATTTAAAATTAAATGATAATATGAATTATATTGTTGAATTGTTAAAATGTAAATAGGAATCTTGGCAATACGATTTATCAGTCAGTGACTTTTATAGAAAATTTATTATACAATTTTAGGTTTATTAATACACAGAAAACACTGACATTCACACCACATATATACAAGCAGACACATAACATGGCCAATAAGGGACACTTTATAGACAGAAATGAAAATATTCCGACTGCAGGAGTTTCTACCTATGGTTTAGATGGCGAGGGAGATGTAAAATGTTGCCTAAATATTAGCAATCCTGAAGAACTAGCTGAGAGTCTGGTGAGGTCCAAATGCGTTGAGAACAGGGACATATCCAATAGTTTTCCCGCTGTTTCGGGTATTCCCAGTGATAGTCTTCGGGATTTCATGACTAGTGAGTTGCAGAAGTCCCGCTTTATGTCGTTTAAGGAGAAGTTCTACGAGGAGATGTACTTCAAGAAGTCCAATCTGGGTCAAGTAAAGCCCACTTACTCCAAGCCAGATAATGTGAACAATTCCAGTCAAACCTTTGGCTGTCCTTCGAGTCCAACTCCTTCGGAATCTCTGTATTCAATAATAATGCCAGCTAAGTCAGCGGAACAAGTTAATAAGGAGTACCAAACCTTTCACGACAAGAAAATCATCAGCCACAATCACTATTTTCCCTCGGAGCAGATTAATCGCCAGTATGTATCGATGTCTTTTGGATCATTTATATGTCTACTATTACATGTCTATTATTAAGCATGGATTATAATTTTGTCATGTTTTTCAGATATTCGCCACCCTTTAATCGCCAAACCCCTTCTGCAAATTTCCAAAGCCTTGGCGATTTCGGACTGAAAGTGAAACGATGTCTTGAGGAAGGGGAAAGCCACCTGAAGGTTATTGGAAAGGCACAAGTAGACTTTATGAAACGAACCGAAGCCCCTCTGGGAACGAAATTCGAAAAGTAAGTTGGCTAAATTTATTTGTGGGTTAGCCTTATCTGTTTAACCATCTTACCATTTAGGTATCCTTGTGCAGTTCCCGACATAACTTTCGGCATTCCCATGACCAGTAATGGTGATGTGAAGATGCTGCTTAGTAATATCAAACCCTCTGAAGAAACCAATCGACTATTAGACGCCATTAGCTATTTAAACAAGAAGCGATACAAATTGAGGGATCTACTTGATTTCCACAAACATGAACTAATGTCTCAGCTGGAAAAGAGTGATAAGGACAAAACAGGTTATTTGCCATTGCCATTGATTTTGGAAATCATCGGAAGTTTTCACATTCGCTTGGATTCTCGGAAAATCCGTTCTGCTCTTTCCCATTTCCAGATGATCGTCGACAAGGGTTGTGCCACGGAACGTGTGAGTTACCAGAATTTCCTTAAACTTCTCTCCATTCAGAACTCATTGCCAAAAATGGGAAACCTATTCAATGCTTCTGATATTAATTGCCTGGACACCACATATCGTTTGTTCTGCGACGATCGTCAAAAGAAGCCCAAAGTGGATCTGAAGGTCTGTGATCAACATCTTGAGAAGGATATAACGAGTGTAAAGGATCTGGTATCTCCGGATCTGGCCATTTTACGTGGCCTTAAACCAAACGATTTTACACGTTTGCGACCGAAAGTGGAAATCGAACGAATCTTCAGGAAACTCGTCTCAAAAGATGGATTTGAGAATATTTGGAGAAGTCTAATGAATGAGTACAAGGTCCAGAATGAAATGGCATCTGTCACGCAGTTTCGTGCTAAGATGTACAATAATATAGGAACCACATAAAGATGTCCACTGAAATTATTGGTCAAAACACTGTACATATTAAAAATATTAGAATATATAAAAAAACAAAGAGGAAGATTTTTATACCAGTATGAGAAACTATAAGAATAAAATAAATTAAAGATTTATTCAAATGTATTTGACTATCCAATTTCAACCAGAATTTATCAAGGTTTTGCCTTTGACTTATTTTCATTTGTATAGCATATATTTAGGCGGTTGTTTGTTTAAGGTAAATATGTACAGTATATATTTCCAGTAATTCGAACAAAGTTTATTCAAGTTCTTTGGCTCAGTTAGGAAATCATTTTCCTAATAACTGTTTGTCAAACATTAATAGTAATGCTTAAAAAGAACAAGCCGGATAATACTCTGCAGCTATAAATATGTTAACTCCAACTTCAGTCAATCACACATCACTCGATCACAGCTTTTTGATCAGTCTTAAAGTCAATTGCCTCATTAGCTCTGTAACTAACTGACAACAATCGAGATGAAGTTCCTTTTCGTGGTTGCTCTTATCGCCTTGGCCATCCAGGTGGCCTATTCTGCCTCCACCAACACAACAACGACTACAACTGATGCCACTACTACAACAACTACAACTACGGCGGCAACAACAACCACAACTGCCTCTTCCACCCACAAGAAGCGTTGTTGGAAGGGCAACAACTGGTGCCACACTCGCATCCCCAAGAAGAAGTGCAAGCACCCCAAAAGGTGCCACAAGACAGTCGTGATTGTGACCCACAGGAAGGATTAAAAACTTACTATGTTAATATGAAATAAATTTATAAACTAGAATTTGTTGTACCCTTTTATTTTTTCCCTGTATTGCGTTGCAATTGTGGAAAACGCACAAAGCTTATGTTAGTTTATTTAAGAGTGCGGAAAATAATCCTATTATTCCTACCCTCTATATAGTAATGAATTTCTTTAAAATACTATATATTATGTCATTATTACTTGTTCTATTTTATCTGTTAAGTTTCTGTATTTTTATCATTTAAATAGTTTTACTCATTTTTTAGATGTCGTATTATAATGTATTATAATATTTTGGTTGGGCGGGTAAGCCTGAATGTTATAATTTCTATTTTAAATTGTAAAACTTTTCTATTAATGTTTTAGAGTATAATTTATTTTAAAAATTAAATATGTATTGAATATTATAATATATATATAAGTCTAAAAAGATAAAAAGTGAAACACAGCCTTCTGTTTTATGTTAACAATGATAATTAAAAAAAATAAATTTGACTAAATAAACATTATATGAAGAAAAATAAAAACATCCCAGTGTACGAAAATGTATTTTTGGTTTGCAAATCATAATATCAGATAAATTATATAAAATATTCAAACATTATTTTCCATATTTGTTTAATTTCAAACTTCCTCTTATATTGCTTTAAATAAATATTTGATATTTAAGTAAGAATGGTCTTTGAGCAGCTGTGAGTAAGACATATTTTTCGACAACTGAATATCAAATATTTGATATCACACCTGTGTATTGATCAGCTTTTAATGGGTTTGTTGTCTTTTAAGTTGGGAATTCATTTCCAGAATTGATATTTGGTAAATGTATTTATAAACTACAAACAAGGAACAAAGCTTGAAAAGATTTCGACTATAAAAAAGGTTGTCATCAATCCAGTCAATCACAACACTCTGCATCACCAATCTATAAGGTATCCAAAGATCCCAGCATAATCCAAGATGAAGTTCCTTTTCGTAGTTGCTCTTATTGCCTTGGCCATCCAGGTGGCCTATTCAGCTTCCACCACCACAACCACGACTGATGCCACCACTACAACAACTACCACTACTGCGGCAACAACAACCACAACTGCCTCTTCCACCCACAAGAAGCGCTGTTGGAAGGGCAACAACTGGTGCCACACTCGCATCCCCAAGAGGAAGTGCAAACACCCCAAAAGGTGCCACAAGACCGTTGTGATTGTTACCCGAAGGAAGAACTAGGAGCCTTCGCCGACTTTTATATTAAAAATAAACAACATATAAAAACACATTTTGAGTTATTTTCTTATCCATTTTTATAGTGCATTGCAAAATGGCTTTCAGATCGGAAAAATCATATTTATTTTGACACAGTAGAGCTAAAAAACAGAAAAAATATTCCGGTTTTTGCCAAACCCTTAGGTTTTTTTTGTATTAAAAAATCAATATTTTGTCCACCAAAATCTAAAACATTGTACAGATACGAAGGGTCATATCTAGCTGAGCCTGTAATTTAATTTCGAATTTTATCTAAACAAGCAATTTTCTTGCAATTTTTTCGAAAAATTGGGTGATGATGAAAGGTACAAAAACCAAAACTAGATTTTTTAAATTAATCAGGATTTGATAAGGATCCTTATTTTCAGTCATACAAAACTTTTAGTCTTTCATCTAAAGGATTACTTTTGACTACATTAGAGCAAAAAACCACTAAAAATATTGCGACTAGATTAACACTTAATCTAGTTTCATGATGTAAAGTAAATATACGAGTAGGTTCCCATACAGCTTCTACATATTAATACAGCTGCTGATTTTTGTGGCACTAAATCTAGTGTTGTAAATATTTGATAGTAATTTTATAGGCAATTTTATATGATAGTATGTTTGTCATATTTGCTTATTAGCACCAAACAGGAAATAAAGCTGCAGGGTTGAGGGCCTATATAAGAATAAGATTTTCTCACAATTGATCACAGCACATTCGAGCCCCGTTTCGATAAGGTCTTACAACTTCTTTCCCTTCACCGTCAACGCCAAAGATTCAAGGATCACCCAAGATGAAGTTCCTGTACGTGTTCGTCCTCATAGCCTTGGCTGTCCAGTTGGCCGTTCCAGCAGCTGCAGAAGCTACAAGCATAAAGACTAAAGTAATAGTGACCCGCAGGAAGGATTGAGAGCTACCTCTTTTTTACTTTCAAAATAAATATACAAAAAAATATATCCCTTTGTTTTATTATTTTACTTTTTTTTATGGAATATCATTTTTTTAAATGATTCGCTAAAGAATTTGAGGTATTAATATGGTTTTGTAAACTATTATGTTATGTTTACTTTTACTATTGTTAAGATATTTTTATTTCGAAGGCTTACTGCCTTAATCATACAAATATGTAACGTTATTTACATAAATAAATTCGAAATTTAACTTATCTTTAGACTGTTGGATTCGTTTCTTATCGTTAAGACTTTTTTATACTTAAGTTTTAAAATTAAAAAAAATAATACAAAAAAAAGAAACGCAAACTCTTTTATTTATGGGCGAAAAATTGCATTCCTCGCCCTACATTTTTTTAACAAAACAAATCTCCTTAGAGCTTCTAACCTTCTATTAACCTATTAGCTTAAACTCTACCAAATATTATTTCGTATTTTTTTGTATATAATTCAGCTGCCATGCTAACCCAAAGTGAGTCACACTTTGTACAGCTGTCTATACATGGAAGTAAGCTTTGGGGCCCCATTAGAGCTTTAATAAATATTTGACTAAGCAAAATAATATTGATACTAGTTTAATCGGCTTGTTAACTTTACTGTAAGGAAATAACGTACCGGTAACAAGATGTACATAGGTAAAATCCCATATAAAAAGACAATGTTAAACTAGTTAATCACAATATTCATCGCTCCACTACAAAGATATCAGCCTCCTGTTCTTCTTAGAAACTTTCAAAAATACAAAAATATTTCAAGATGAAGTTCCTTTTCGTGGTTGCTCTTATTGCCTTGGCCATCCAGGTGGCATATTCTGCCTCCAACACCACAACCACGACTGATGCCACCACTACAACAACTACCACTACTGCGGCAACAACAACCACAACCGCCTCTTCCACCCACAAGAAGCGTTGCTGGAAGGGCAACAACTGGTGCCACACTCGCATCCCCAAGAAGAAGTGCAAGCACCCAAAGAGGTGCCACAAGACCGTTGTGATTGTGACCCACAGGAAAAACTAATGACCTTTAAAGGTTGCCTTAAATAAAATTAGTTCTATGTATACATTTTTTGTCTTTTTTTGTTAATTGTTGTTTAGGATTACAATAATTACTAGATACATATGTATGGAGAGAGAGAGAATTGGAGAGAATTCCAAGCCAAATTCAAACTTATCTGAAATGTCAAAAAAAAAAAACATTACTTAGAAAATTTCAAACATAACATACGACAAGGATAGGAAACATAAAAAGGACCTCAAATAATGGCGAACCACGGACACTATATCGAGAGGAATGGTACCATTAGAGCCGCCGGTTTGCCCTCCTTCGGTCCTGATAGGATGACACCCAAGGATTGCCTGATCATAGCTCATCCAGCTGAGATCATACGCAGTCGTATAGAGGAGAAGTGTAGGAGGAGCAGGGAGAAGCCCTACGGAAGACTACAGCCATTTATTCCGGACAGCAAAATCGATGATGTTCTCAACAGTGAAGCTCAAAAGACGCGACTGGCGGCCTTCAAGGAGCAGTTTCTCGAGGACATGTACTCCAAATACACAAAAACTGCCCAAATAAGACCAACGCACTCCAAACCGGATGATGTGACCAATTTAAGTCGAACTTTTGGACGCGCCAATCCACCAGCTGAAACTTTATATAACACAGTATTACCGAGAAAGTCGGTCGATCAGGTTAATCGAGAATATAGCGATTTTCATAGGGGTCATATTGTCAGTCACAATCATTATTTTCCCTCGGAACAGATCAATCGAAGGTTGGTATGCGGATTTTGGAAATATTTGTATTTTACTTTTTAATTTTATTTTCATTTCAGATATACAAAACCCTTCAATCGTTCTGGAATTTATGGCATATATCGAGGCGCCGAGAACAGTGGCGCCACGATGAAGAAATGCTTGATGCAAGGTGATGAGCATTTAACTGTGGTAACTAAGCCCTGGATGGATTACGTCGAACTCACCAAAAGTCCTTTGGGAAAAAAATTCGAAAAGTAAGTATGAAATATATTTCTTTTAATGGAAAATTTAATTTGGCAAAGAAATCTAATTTAAGTAATTTATATAATTCCATTCTAGCATTACTTAGCAAATATCTTCTAATACTTACGTCAGAAAGTAAATTTAAGGCAACCTTTACTTAAGTTTAGTATTTGTTCTTTGCTCAAGTGTTGGTGACTAAGGCTTAACCATAAATTAAGACGCAATTAGCAAAAAATGTTGTTAGTAGTTTAGTTTTTTAATGACATAAACTTAATATTAAACCTTGGAAGAAATTATAGGATAATTCAATTTTGAAACATTACCAGATACCTCGATGCAGTTCCGGACATGCCTTTTGGCCATCGCCCTCGCACGGATAAATGTAGCATCAAAATGTTGCTGAAGGACATTAATCCCTGTGAAGAGGACAACACTTTAGCGACGGCATTATCCTATTTGCTTAGACTGCGCGAGAGTCTTCATAAGCGGAATGATTTTTACATGATGGATCTGATTGCATTGCTGGAGAGGATCGATAAGGAGCACACTGGCCATATGCCTCTATCCCAGATCCTTGAAACTATGTACAAGTTACATATCCGAGTTGATAAGGAAAAAATCCGAACTATGCTATCACACTTCCGGAAAATCATCGACGAAGGCTGTGCCACGGAGCGGGTGAACTACGATCATTTTTGCCGACTGCTATCGGTCCAGCATCCATTGCCGGATGGTGGATCCATTGCCACTGTCCCGGCTAATATGTACAACAAGGAAACCACCTATACGGGACTGTGTAATGATCGTTTCAAAGATGTTCCAGTCGGGATAGTAGATACATGGCCATGCTGGACTCCATACCAAAAAGATGATTTCAAAACACATGTTAAGGAAATCATAGAACCGGATCTCCCCATCAAAATTGGCGTGAGACCCAGTGATTTCACATGTCCAAGGAAAAAGGATGAATTGGAGAGGATCTTTGAAAAAATCATCAAAAATGAGGAATTCGAAAGTATTTGGCAGAGTCTGATGGCGGAAAAGAAGGGTCAGGATCTGGGAGAAATGGCTTCAGTGGCAGAGTTTCGTGATAAGATGCTGAATAAAAAAGTTAACACTACTTAAAAAATTCTTTAACATTAATTTACAACATTATAACATTATAACATTATCATACCATTACGCAATAATAAAAGATAAAAAAGAAAACCATAAAAAACATAACCGTTGTACTAATTAAGATGTAGCCAGAAAATAAGTTGGTAGAAGGTAATTAATCTGAAAAACATCAAAGTTATCCTATTAAGATACTTCAGAACATTAAGCTAACATATATATCATCCTTCTAACAATATCAAAAAACTAAGATATGGCAAACTTAGGCCGTTACCTAGATAGAAACCCTGATATGCGGGCTGCGGGCTTGTCATCGATCATGAACACGAATGCGCTTAGGGAAAGCTTTTTGGTGGCTCACATTGAGGAGGAGGCGGAGAATCGTATCAGACCCCTTTGCCGCCAACATAGACCACAGCCTTGCAAACGAACACCAAAGATACCAACTAATATGATTGAGGAAATTTTCAGCAATCAGTCTAAGGGACTTTTCTCTGAGTTTCAGGATAATATTCGCGAGAATATGTTCATTAAGAAGCCCCTTGTGGGCCAGGCCAGAGAAGCCAACTCGAAACCGGACTATGTTACCAATATGAGCCGTACCTTTGGTCAGATCTGTGATACCAGTCCTGAAGATTCTCTATACTGTCTTGTATTGCCGCCGAAACCAGCTGAGCAAGTCAATCGAGAGTTTGCCGATTGCCATGATATGCACATAATCAGTCATAACCACTATTTTCCTGCGGAACAGATTAATCGACGGTTTGCTGATTATTCTAATTTAATTCTAATTTCACAGTTAATATTCTACTTCTGTTGATTAGATATGCGAAATCCTTTAACCGGTATGATACTTTTGGTGTACATCTTGGAATTGATCCCTCGGGTAAAAGTGTCAAAGGTTGTTTGAAGGAGGGCGATGAGCATTTGACAATAGTCAAAAAGCCCCAAAAGGATCTAGAAGATCGCACTAAAGGTCCTTTGGGCAAAAAGTTTACGTAAGTATTGCAAATGAAGTTCTATGTGTAATGCAATTTCAACAATTTCCGAATAAATTATAGATGGTATCCCTACAAGATCCCTGAGAACATAACCTTTGGCCGGACGCTACCTCATGATATCGACGTGAGGTCTCTGTTAGAAAACACCTCGCCTTCTTTATATTCCGAGAAATTGGCAGGTGCTATTAGTCATTTAAACATGCTGCGCAAGTTTCTGCAAGAGCGGGACGATTTAAATATAAATCAACTTATAACTGCCTTTGGAAAGAAGGACAAAGAAGGTAATCATCAGCTTCCGCTGACCGAACTGATTCAAGTGATGCGAAGGATGAGTATCCCCGTAAATATGGAGAAAGTCCGTACAGCAATTTCTCATTTTAAGTTGTTCGTAGATGAAGGATGTTGTTCGGAGAAAGTTAAGTACGAGGACTGGTGTGAATTACTCACCATAGTGAAAACCCTGCCAATAGTTGGATCCATTTCACCCACTCCGAAAGTGATGTATAATAAGGATACAGCCTATCGACAGCTATGTGCTGATTTGTTAAAGAAAATACCAGAGGGACCAAACTATAGGCATCACCATAGGTCACTCATCAAACAGGATATATATGATACACGTGTCAAGGATGTTATAAGTCCAGAACTATCCACATTATGTGGTCTTTGTCCAAGTGATTTTAAGGTATTACGTAACAAGGTTGAAATAGAACGAATATTTAACGGCATCATTACGAAAAAGAACTTTGAATCGGTCTGGCAGAGACTGATGGATGAGCATAAAGATCAGAATGACATGGCATCCGTTGCCCAGTTCCGTACTAAGATGAAAAAGATCGATTAGTAATGATTAAGATTAGGTTTGATGAATTGGTTTTACATGTTTTTAACACTGAACAGAAGTCTTACATATTATTTAGATTAATAACTTTAAATTGAAATCTTAGAATTGCCTTGTAAATATTTTTCCACAGTTACATTTAGTTATCTTTTAATGTTGATTAGGATGACCTATTATTTATTAAACTTCCCTGTTTCTTAATCAGATCTAATTTTCTAAAGAATAACTCCACATTTTTTGTTGTATTATTTTTTTTAATGCTATAAGGTAAATAAGGTAAAATTATAAAGCCATTTTGGGATTGGGATCAGGACGTTGGGAATTGGGAAGGGGATTCGTTCGGGTCGTGAGTGTGGGTGGTGGGTGCTAAGAAAGTTTAACCCCTTCGGTTCTTAATTTTCCTCAAGTGGTGCCTCTTGACGATCCTCTTGGGGCGGTGGATCTTGCGCTTGTAGTGGGTAACGTGCTTCTTCTTCTTGGAGGAGCTAGAAGATGTGGTCGTGGTTGTGTCCGAGGAGGATTCAGTGGTGGTAGTGGTGTCCGAGGACGATGCCGTGGTTGTGGTGGTGGTGGCATCTGTTGTTGTCGTCGTTGTGGTACTGGCACTCGACTGGCTCACCAGGAAGCATGCCACAGTGGCCAAAAGGAGCAGGACGCAGGTGAACTTCATAACGATGATTGTTAACTGAATGTGATCAACTGATGCTGTTCTGGAATTTTTCCGCCAGTTTTTATACCCCTGTCGGTTGCTGCAACAATGGTTAAAGTAAACAACCTGTCTGACTGTATAAAGTCTGGTAGCAGCGTGAGAACCAAAGCCGTTATTTAATTTAAACATCCGAATATAACAGGGTCGAGTAAATAAAAAATTTGCAAAAAATTAAGTCTAACGCAAAAGCAATTGTTTAAATATGCAAAAAATTATTTCGGAATTCAGCTGTTGCTTTACGTACTTTATAACAATAAGTTGTTTACGGTTATGAAAAGAAATGTGGTCTTTGTAAGTAGTTAGTTTGTCTCAAGACTTGTTGGTTTTGAATGTTGGTTTCATTTCCAAACTGACTTTTTTCTGAAACAATAGAAGTTTTCTTCTTATAACTATATTGCTTTGAATGTGGATACTTTATGACCCACAATTTTGAAGGACATTCTTATCATTTTGTCAGATTAGGGAATTTGCAAATAAAATAAATGCAAAAACTGGTTTAAAAGGGGTTTTAATATGATAAAAATATGAATAATTTCAATATATCCTTACACAAATTGATATAAAACTTTATTGATAAGAATATTATCATTACCTTCTAATTGGTGTTTTTCCTTGATTTCATTAATAGTGCAAACTGCAAAGTATAATTTGATCTGTTTATAACCATTACCACGAAATCAATTTGCTGCCATATTCAGCTTACACTTTAATAAACAGTTTGAAGTTGCAAGCTTTCCTTGGAATTTGTTTTACTGCTCAATAAATCGTTTATTATAGAATCGCACATCCAATGGAGTGGTCGACAAAGTTTCTAATATTTCTTCTTGCTTTTCTAAGCATAAATTTTAGTTATGTTTTTACTATGCACAATCCAATGATGCGTATAAGTAAGTTAGTTATTATCCTATCTGAACTATATATATATTAATAACATTCATCTCTTTCTTCCCAGAGTGCGATTTGGGGGAGTATTTAACTTGTAAATTTAAATTTGTATACTGTTGGCTTTACGAGTGCGTTTGCCTTCCGGATCACGTTTATCTAGAACTGGGATTTGGTTGCCTTTATATTGAATACCTTTAGATGAAGAACCTATTTCCATTTTACGAAATCTTCAAATAAGTTGCTTTTAAATATATGTAAACTTTCTTCAATAAACATTAGTAACCATTTTATTTTATTTTTATATATTTTGTAAGCTGCCTAAATCACATCCTTTAGTTTAGTTTATTTCTCAAAATTCCTTGAAGTTTCCGTAGAAAACATTCGTAATGATATAGAACTAACTTTCGATTAACAGATTCTTGATAAAATTAACAACTTAAAGCAATTGCTAAATTCTATATCTACATAGATTCTGTTCGAAAATTGTAATAAAACGCATAAGACTTCAGCTTACTTGCTAATCACGAACTACTTTATTTGCACTCAAAAGGCGGGAGCTAATCTAACTACTTGGCTTTGTCTAGAAAGTCTTTGGCCTCGTTGATCTTGGCCGCCAAATATGGAGAGCCACCTCGATCCGGATGGTTTAACAACATGATCTTCTTGTGGGCATCCTTAATCTGAAAGAAGATACATTAATAAATAATTGAATAAACTTTTGTTTAAATAAAATCCCCATCAATTCGATCTCCGTAATACCTTGATCTTCGACGCACTGGGGCTGACGCCCAGGATGAGGGAGGCCTCTCGCTTGTTCATCTTGGGATCGAAGCCACCCTTGTAGTACTTGGACGCTGCCATGCTCTCTGCATCGAATTTGGGCAAGTTCTTAAGGGCCTCGTTGAATTTGGTGGTCATCTGGGGCATCCGACGCATCAGGTGCTTGCCGGCGAATCCCACGGCGGCCACTCCAAGTCCCGCCAGGATTACGGAGCTTGCCTTTGGTATGGAATTGTTCGTATTGTTGGCCATCGCACCGTTAATTTGATATTCGATATGAAAGGAGAGAAATTTTAAATATTTTACGATTGTTTTTTTCTAAAGTTAAACAATGTGATTTAAAAATGTACCATTTTATGTAATTTTAACAGCTGTAAATTCAGTGGAACTGCATGGCCAGCTGCCAGCTGTTGGGTAATCGGTAATTTAAGAGTTGTCGCTATACGCCATTTACTATCGATAGCTGCGTATCGGCAAGACTTCTATTATTAACTGCAATTATTGAAGTAGAAAATGTAAATATTGAAGTGGAAATATGGTTATTAGTTTGAGTTTATCTTTTGAGTCTTTAAAAGTTTATCTATCTCGTTGCCTCAACATCTATTGGTATATTTTTCTATTATTATTATTTTTATATAGAAAGTATATTTTAATCCCCATTTCCGGCGCCTTTGCCACCCAGCTGATTGTCAACAACCAGGGATGCAAGCTAAAAACAACAATTCCGAAATCGATAAATCTGTAAAGATGCTGAGTTGACAACTGCACATTACGAATTAAATCATAGGAGGTTATTCCTGAAGTTAAAAGATTTTGAAAAATCCTCCCCACAAACTCTGTCGCGCAGATGCTATCGAAGGAGTGCGCAGACGTTGTCTATCGATAGCTTTCGGGCAGCATCGATAACGGGACTCAACAAAGTGCACAAACAAGCGAAGAAGAAGCAGAAGAAATTTTTGATGTGCAAAGTTTGAAAACCAAAATCACCCAAATATTGATTGACGAAAGTAAAAGTTTCAAGAATTGGTGATCTCCACATCCTGGTGGAGTGGTGGTGTGCGTGAGTGTCCGTGTGCGTACCGCTAACCGTTAGTGTTTGGGTGAGCAGGCGTACGTGTGTATGTGTGTGCCTGTTTGTGTGTCGGTCGTAAGTCGTGCCAGTGTGTGCGTGAGCTCCTCAGCTGGGGAAAAACTTTTTTGGAAAATTAGCAGGCAGCAGGAAAAACAGCCGTCAAACTGGAGCGAATTCCGGAATATCTACGCGACACGGTCGATTGGCTTATGGGGTAAGTATTCCTTATATCACTAAAATCATAGATCGTTCTTATGCTTTCCCCCAAAAAAAAAAATGGTTATATGTGTTGTATATCCATCTTGGCCACTTGGTGGGTCTCTTGCGTCGCTTTGTCTTCGGTGTCCTCTGCTTTTTTTCTCGTCTGCTACTACTGCTGCTGCTGCTGCTCTTTTTCGTCGCCATTTGGCCTTATGCCAATTGGCCTCGTTTCGCATTTTCGCCGACTGAAATTTCTTTTTTCGTCGCACTTCTCACAGGAGTAGAACCCCAAATACCCTACACATAGCCCTTAACTTTCTTAAGTTACTTATAGCCTTAAAAACTGCAGACTTAGGGGGTATTTACTATATCTATAGACAAAATGTAAGAAATTCGACCCCAAAGTACCCCTTATATAAAACCTCTTCATACTTGGCTCTATCACTTCCATTTAAACCGTTTATCTACACTTGATATCTTAAAGGCGCTTACTTATTTTCAGTGTATGTTACATGTCAGACGTTTCTTTGTTGTGATTGCGGCATATAAAAATCAATGGGCATTTTTTATCGATTTCTCAAATGTGGTTACCAAGTCGCAAGTGTTTTGTGATTTACTTGACCACCAACTTTATAAGAATTCCATGAGTGTGTGTGTGTGTGCTTGATCGTCCTACTACTCCTCCTTCTCGTCTTTGCCTTTTGCTCTTCTTCCCACGAATCGGAGTCGCAAGGCCATCGCTGCACTTTGATTGCATTGCACTTCGTTTATTTTTGTGCTCGTCTTCGCCGTCTCTTCTCCTCTTCTTCTGCCTCTTCTCCTTCTTCTCCTCTTTCTTTTGTTTATGCCTCAAGCAGGGTCGCAATTCTGGAGATAAGAGTAGGTTTAACGAACTTGCAAATTTCATTACCACATTCTTGTAGGTTTAGTTCTAGAATAGAGAATTTTCGTTGTGTACAACTTAGATTACACACTCTTAATCATTAAAGAAAATTAAAAATAAAAATATACATTTTATTATTAAAACTTGTAGACATGGCTTGGAATATCTAACACTTAGATTGTAGTGAGGGAGCTTTTTACGTTTTAAAATATATACTTTTTTCATCATAATGTGTCCTCAAAATTTCCAACTGGAATGAAATTTCTTTGCAAATTTTCCATTTCTGTTACCTAAAAGTATTGCGTAAGGAACATTCCTTAAAAATTAAGCCTATATGGCTGTCTCAAAGCACGCAGATAGTTTTCAAGAGCTTTATCATCACAGCTGTTCTGTACCTAACAAAAAACGATAAATTACCATTTTTTTATATTCATCCACTATTTAAGATTGCAGCTTAGACCTTTATAGAAAAAAGAAAATCCTTAAGGATGCACCTTTGCCAAAAGGGGGTTGTGAAGGAAGAGAGTGAAGGTGGTGGATGAAAATCTTTATATTGTGGGGTTCCTTGAGGAAGTCACCCTTAGCTTTCCAGGTAACTTCTCATGAAAGATTGCGTGATGTTCTATACTTTTAGTTAAATAATTAAGAAGAAACTAGAATTGGCAATAATTTAAAGCTTAACATACTTGGCTGTTTAATTAGGCATTTTAAGTTTAAGTTAGCTTAAGTACGATTTTAGAGTTAGTTTAGTTTTCCAGTTATTAACTATTATAAAACCAAATCATTTATATTTGAATCTTGGCTACTAGACATTTTACACATTTATAAACTTGTTTAGTTTAACTTAACTATTAATTTTAATAAGAGTCGCACACCTAAGTATAGACATCTGTTTCTCACTTCTTACCAATCCACCTTAAGGGTTGTTAATTCTTGACATCTGCAGGTTATCTCATCGAAAACTACACAAAGTTAAGGGATAAAGTTCAGTAGTAGGAAAACCTAATCAAGCACAATTTAGTGATTAAACAGGAAAATCAAGCGGTGGCAAATTGCGGAAATCGAGTTGATTAGAAACAGACACATAGAGACTGGAGGGCATTAATGAAAGCTTCCCTGTTCTGGACTGGATAAATTAAGTCCGCACATCCCACTGACAATTTGATGCTTACGTGTGCGCCTTTCTTTTTTGTTGTTGTTGTTTTATTTTTGTCTGCAAAGCCAGATGCTAAAGTCGTTAGTAAAAGCTATATACCAGGGTACAGTGTACCATATATGTTTGTGTACACGAATATATATGTACTATATGTTCACACACAGGGGCCAATCTTTTGTGGACTGTCACAGCATCCAAATAGGCAAAGGAACACAGAAAAAAAAATGTATATAAAAAAAACAACAACAAAAACAAACGATGTGAGAGCAACAAAGAACAAACAAATTGTGTCACATGTCACACCCCATACCCCAAAAAAAAAAAGGGGAAAAGTACACAGCAGTTGATGGCTCTGCCGGCGGAGGACAACATCATACGAGTATGGAGATATCTAGAGGAAGGGTTTCACTCTTTTTTTTTTTTTTGGGCGGACTGGGCTGGACGTCATCGCCCTCCAATGGAGCGGGGTTTCATTAGAGCAGGCATAACAATTAAAAATGTGGCAAGAGAAAGGCTATCGATTTTCTTCCAGCGAGGAGGGCTTTTACTCCACTGGGAAAATGTATCAGGAAGATGGTTGCTATTTTATTTAGAATAAAGGAAATGAAGGGGAAAATTAATTCATTTTGAAAGATTCTTAGTTCTCACCTTGAAATATTTCTCTAAAATTGTAACCAAATATATTTTCACATATTTTAAACTTAAACTTTATAATCAACTTGCCAAGTTTCTCGACTGCCTTCTAAATTTTTAACTGAACTTTTTCTTAGTATTTCCTATAAATATGCGAAACATTTATTTAAAAACTAAAAGAATCCCTCATAAAGCATTTTGCGTCTAAGTAAAACTGCTTGTCGTCCCCCTTTTCCATTTTTAATTAAACAAATTTTTTTTGAGGAAGTAAAATCTTTGCACAGGTGGAAAATTCAGTATGTGCATAAGGTAATTTCGAGTAAGTTAGTCGTAAATTTAGCAGTATACCTCATTATCAACCCTCGCTGTTCAGACGACGACGACTACGGCGTGTGCATTCCGACAGCCTTGAAGCGCACTTAGTACAACTCTAATTGAATTAGCCGGCAACGGGTGCAAGTGCAGGAAAAAGGAAAATTACAAATAAACTGCAACAAAAATGTGCAAAAACAAATGCACTGGGGAGAAAGGCATAAATAGCGAGAGAGAAAAGCGACACTTTTCTTTTTTTTTTTGTTGTTTTTGCAGCCTTAGAAGGGGCATTCATTGATTGACAGACAAACCCAAGTCAGGCCAAGCTCCCTATAGGGCGTGGCTGAAAAATCACTAGACAAAATCAATTTTTTTTTTGCAGACCCAAGATTGTGTATATTTAGTATGTGCGAAGAAGGTTGCAACAAACTGCCACCAACTGCAGCCATTACCATCCCATTTGTTGCCTTCTGGCCTGGCCAGAACACACACAGCTCAGTTGCAGTCGAGCGGCGGAAGCGTTTAGTTCCCCAGTTTAGTTATTATTCTCCATCTTAGCCAAATCTCCGGAGGCCATGAACTGGGCCATTTCGAATCTAACGGGCGGCAATCGCGTTAGCCGTGCGATTCTTGTCCGTTATTCGTCGGTTCCTTTGGCCGATGCCGCCGCCGATGGATCCTCGACGGCACCCCAAACGCCCACCGCCTCCACGCCACGCCCCTCGGCATCGCACTCTTCATTGTCGTCGACTTTTGCTGCCACCTTCCTTCATGCCTCATCGCGTCACATTCCCGGACGTGCTGTGCCCCGCCAGAATGCCAATGGTGGCCAGAATGGTGGCAAAGGGAATTCCTCGGGAGCTGGTGGCGTTTCTGGTGGGGGAGGTGGTAGTGGTGGTGGTGCAGGTGGTGGTAGCGGAGCAGGTGGCTCGGGTGCCCAGTCAGGAACGCAACTGTCGCTGCCGCTGGACGTTGAGGAGACTGTCACTTGCTTCTGTCGGTAAGGAGGTGGAAATTGTTGAGAAAGAATTTCGGAATTTATATTAATATTTAGTGAGGGGGGTTAATAATCTTAATGCAA